GGAGGCTGAAATTTTACGGTAATGACCCCCTGCCCACGCTCAACCTTGCCCATTCAAATTCAGCGTTCTCGCGCTTTTGGGTACCATCTACGGCCTCATGAAAATTTTGGCGGGTAAACTATTAACTCGGGAATCGCGGAAAGATATTAATCCTTCAAGGTTTCGAATTTAGCTTTCATACGCTGCTGCATGAAATTTTTAACTGTTTTCCAATGTTTGAACTAGTTTTGTATAGACTAAAGTACAAAGCAATGAAAATCATTAATAGGCAATCGTTCGATGGGCTGAATTGCACAAAATGCATGATCGCACCGGCTAGTCTGGTGTGCGTTGCTATTTAATACTTTTGCTGCAACTGTTATACTGAGCAAGTTCAGTTGCAGCACTGAATGGGAATGTATGCGCTTCAATGGATCAAAATATTCCAATTTAATTTTCATTTTTATTTTTACTTTTATCTTTTAATTATTACATGCTTTTTCATAACCATAAAATATCTAAATTTCAAAAAACACGCTTGCTTATTTGGGAGATCTAAAATGGCACTGTGTTTTCGTTAATTATCAAAATTCGATTGTGTTCCTCCTCTCAACGGTGTCGGGGCCAGCAACGCCAAACAAACTGCATTTCAGGTCACGTGCGGTCTTGTGAAAGTTTTAATGGGAAAATTGCTAACTCGAGGACCAGAAAAGCTGGAAAGCTGAGATTTTAGAGGAATACCGTCGAAATATAGCTTAAGGGTTTCAAATTCAGCCTCACATATGCGTGGTTCTCGTGTACGGGCAATGAAATTTTTGGCGTGAGTTAACGCATAGACGATTTCAGGTTCTCGTCCTCCTCCAATCTCCTCCTGGCCAGGGATATTCATTGTTTCTAACTTTAAAATTTCTACAAAACTTACTGTCATTTGCGTAAGGCTGCAACCCAGTGCTTTCGATATCGCCATATTGGGGAACAACACGCCGCAGCGATTTCTGTTTCGTCAGTAACTTTGGATCGTGTGAAAATTTACAACTTTCACCATAATGGCAA